ACATTTTATGATGAGTCATTGAGAATTTTCTCATTACCTTCGGCCATATATCCAGACATCAAAGCCGTACACATCGCTATATCAATCTTTGTGAAGGATGCTAGTGTTATCTGAGGGACGCATCCTTGGTTAGTAAGCTTATATTGTTAGTTATGGGATAAGAATGGCCGTTTTTTTACAATTGAGTTTTTATCAAATATTTTAAATTAACTGAATGTTAATTATCAAGTAGATAGCGGGTACCGTAACGGAATCGACGATTCGAGTTTAAACTCTGTTCAATTTAGTTCGATTGAAAAAAAACTTGGAAAAAGTACGAATGCATCTTGTTCGGGCGACGCTTACGGCCACATCAGGTTGAAACACCGGTTGTCGCACGATCACCGAAATTAAGCAACCCGAGCCTGGTCAGTACCTAGATGGGTGACTGCTTGGGAATACTAAGTTCTGTAAGCTTGGATGTGCGGCTGGTGTAATGGTTAATGGTTTGGAATTGTTCATCGGAGAACCGAGTTCTAATTCCTCTTGGGTTTGTTATATTCCCTTCCATGCAAATACCCTTGGGAAAGGTATGAACCCACCTCTTCTCCCCAGAGCTATAGGTTAATTAGAAAACTTGTATCACTAACCCATTTTCATCTAAAAATGTCTTCCAATCTAAAAATATTTCCTGGCTTTAAATAACCTGTAAATGGTTGATAAGCCGTAAAAAAACAATATCACTCAATCAATCATTTTCTCGAGCAACAGGTTAAAAGCAAGCCTGGTGAAACTCTCTTGATTTAAACACATGTAAATAATAGGGCAGACTGAACCTCTTAGCTTTGTTAAGGCAACCAGTCTAGGAGAAGGAAGACTCTGAAATTAAAACGATCCTAGTGAGTACTTATGGTGTCTCAAAGACCTTCATGGTTTATGGAAGTCGGGGTCGTATGAATATTTACATTATTCGGACTATTGTCCTCATCTTTGTTGCCATATTTATCACAATGTTTCGGCCGTTGTACGCTCCGGCCTTCTTCAGGTGGTTGGAATGCCGAACTGAACCCTTTATTTCGATCGCTGGAGTAGACTGTTCTAGTTTCACGTGCCATGTCTAATGGATGTAAGTTATCAGTTATCTCCTGTTAATTCCCCTCTCCAAGTTCTCCATCGCCTTAACCGGGTATTGAACTCACACTCTTTGGGTCATGTCACTGGATCTAACTAACGCCTTTATCCATTGTGCTGTGTGTCCCTGTGGACAATAGTCTGAATAATGTAAATAGTGTACATAACACCTCATCTTAGAAATATAGACAGATAGTGGTCGTATGAATTATGAAACAGAGAACATTATTAAAATATGCAGCTTTCTTTTTGATTCGTTTCTTTATTTCCATTCTTTAGTCTGTTATCCTCGACACCGCATTCCTTCTCCACCGACAGAAATCTACTGTCTACGCTCGATTGCTTTTCAGCTATACGGCCATAAATCAAAATAACGAGTACTTAAAGCCGCACTGACCAAATAACAGAAATAACAGCGCATGCGTTATTTAGAAGCAGCCGCCATTGGCACAGATGGACGCAATCATTCGGATTTATAACTTTTACTTATTTTTTGCTTTCTCAAATTGTTAGGCCAGTTTCTTGGCGCACAGATACGTTGTACTCATCAAATAGTTCGTTGATCTCGGTCGATGGAAATAAAATAATCTATAGCTAAAGTATAATAAGGGATGCTAAACCCTACGTGATTCATACATTCCAGTAGGTCTGCTTTGTGATTGATATTGTTGCGTATTTCCCAACAACGGGCACCTCGAGGCGGTGTAATGGTTAGCGAGCTTGTCTCGCTAGAACAATTATGACCAAGTAGTGAGTTCGATCCTCACTAGGTGCCCCATACTTTCGGCCTTGTGCCACATCTAAGCTACGTTTGGAAAATCACTTAGCGTATAAATTCCTCCTTGGAGTAGTTTCTAACGCAGGCTTACCATCTCTCAGTTGCGTCTCTGTCTTTGGGCCAAGTTCGCTCAGGGGCTTCAGAGAGGCAACTGAGAAAATTATACTGAGAGGTGTCCAGCCCTGGGGAACAGCTGCCCGAGGCCGCGCCCTCCCATTGCATCAGAGGGAGGGATCGGTGCTGGCACCGAAGCCAGCCCAAAAGACCGTTGCGGGGTTTGTGGGCCATTTTTTTCCCATGCCCGGGTGCACGCGCTCGAGTCCCCACTTTAAAAAAGACCTTGTGTCACATCTCGTCCTGGTGGGGGAACGAGTAAACACCGTATTTATCAATAACGCTTTTGGTCGGAGTTCGAACCCAACTCAAAACCAGGCTTTCGAATGTTAAGTCTAAAAGGCAAGTTCTCTTTATCTAGAAGGTTTATACAGTCTACACCGTGGGCTTTACAGTCATATCACGTTGAAACACGGGTTCTCCTACGATCACCAAAGTGAAGCAACATCGAGCCTGGTCAGTACCTAGATAGGTGACCGCTTGAGAATACCACGTGATATATGGTTGGACGTGCGGATGGTGTAATGGATAGCGGTTTGGCATTGGAAATCGGAGAGCCTAGTTTCAATACCAGTCGGGTTCATTATATTTACTTACGCGCAAATACCTCTTCCCCATATTCACGACGTTTCGGCCGTTGTACGCTCCGGCCGTCTTCAGTTGATTGGAATGAGTTAATTAGTAGAACTTGTATCAGTAAAAATCATTATTTCCCTCTAATTCTTAAAATCTAAAAATATTTTCTGTCTTTAAATAACCTGCAAATGTTTGATAAGCCGTAAAAAACAAATCAATCATTCAATCTATGGGCCGTATCTCTTCAGGGAGTGGGCTATGATGGCTTTCCACAACTTCCTATCCTTTGTAACTGTTAGTAACGTTTGTCTTTTTGCCATCCCATTTACATCTATATATTTTCACAAGCTTCTTATGTAAATTACTCGCTGTTTCCCACTCCTCCTCTTGTCTTGTTTTATGAGTATCAAATTCTCCAAGCCCTCTTTTCTCATTATACGTTCTAGAAATTTCCACTGTTTCTTTCTCATTCTAAGTATAAGCGTCCTTTTTGTTTCCATTTTCTTCAAAACTTCCTTGCTATTCGCATGTTTCCTCTATGGCATTCTCAGCATACTTATGTAGAACCAAGTTTCTGTTGCATCAAGTTTCTTCTTCATCTGTGAGGTGATTGTGCAACATTTACTGCCATAAAAGAGGACTGGAATTACGTAGCAGATGAGCCCCACTTTCTTTGTTTCTAACGAAATTTTCTACCGATGTAATAACAATCTATAAAAATTTCCGACATTTTTCCATATTAAAGTTCTTAAAGATAAAAAATCATTTTAGTTGATAGAACCCTTGTATCTGTCTATATTTCTGAAATGTGGTATTACGATTACTTGCACTATTTACATTATTCGGACTGTTATCCTCATCTTCATTGCCATATTCACAACGTTTCGGCCGATGTACGCTCCGGCCTTCTTCAGGTGATTGGAATTTCGAACCGAAGCCTTTATTTGAGGATAATGTAATAATGCAAGAATAACACCGAATAATGTAAATAATGTAAGAATCGTTGAAACGTACTTTTCAGAAATTAGCAAAAAATTAACAGATTTTAAAACATTTTTCATCTTAATTTTATATTTATTTCTGTCTGTCAGTCTATGGCAGCAGACTGGGTATTTTTTGTTCTCGCCCTATATATACGCATATTGGAACTTCACAATCTTAACAGCATTAGGTATGCAGATGTTGATAGCAAACATATAAAGGAAACTACAAGAACTCCTACAGAAGACGGCTAAAGAAAGCGAAAAGAATGTCAGAATATATGGTTTTCAGCAAAAAACACGAGCCCAACATGCGAATTACAATTTGGAGATACCCCCACCCCACACACCAAAAAAAAGTAAAAAAATAAAATAAATATCAATGAAGTGTTTTAACATAAAAAAATTAAATGCGACATCAAACTCCGGAAGTGCATTGAGATAGCATAAGATACTGCGCAAAAGCTAAGGAAAGTATTAAGAAACAAAAAAAAAATTGTTAGGAACAGAGAAAAGAGTGCTGAACTGTTATATAATATCAATCCTCCTATATAGTAATGGAGGCTGGACAATCTCCTCGCAGCTGAAGAAGAGACTTGAAACAACAGAAATATGTTTTCCACAGAAGGATGCTAAGAATACCATGGACCGAACATGTGAGAAACGACGAAGTTTTAGAGAAAATAGAAACAAAAAGGATACTTATACTTGGCATCATAAGGAGAAATTTCTAGAGCCCATAATGAGGAAAGAGTGTTTAGAAAATTTGATACACATAGGACATAATGAAGGCAAGAGGGACAGAGGAAAGCAGCTCATAACGAGCTTGTGTAAATGGTTTTAAAAAAAAAAGTAATTAGGGGACATAGCCAAAAGGTAAAATTTACTAAGAGCTACAACGGACTGGGATTTGTGGAGAGCCATGATCACTCACGTCCTGAAAGGACACGCCACAGCGAAGAAGAAGAAGAAGAAGAAGAAGAAGAAGAAGAAGAAGAAGAAGAAGAGCAAAACCTGTAGGCCTTTATCCCCTCTTTGGATTGAAGATAAGAGTTGTCACTCGAATGAAATACACCGAGATGAAACGTCCTGTTCCGAATGAACTGTTACTTTTAAAAAGGTTGAGTTCTACATTGTAAATATTAGATAAAATTCCCTCGTAGTTCGAGGCAAGTTATTTTCGGGACGCACCAAGATGGACAGGAAAAGAATAAATATTAGATAAATTAGTAAATACGAACGCGTATTTTACTTGCGTACATTTATGTACAACTACATCTGGCATCAATCAAAAAGTTGCATCGGGTAATAAAATTACAATGTTGTTTAGGAAACCAAATATTCTTCTGGCAACCATTCTTTCGTAACATAAATGAAAATCATATGTTGTAATATTCTAGATAACTTTTTCATCTCGGGGTCTTGCAGTTGAGAGAATAAACAGAAAGAGAAAGAAAAAGACAGAGAATTGAGAGCGCGGGAAAGAGGAAGAAATTGCAGGTGCAATGCAAATGAAAATATCTTAATATAATGTAGTTTAAGCTGCAAAAAGCACGATCCAAATCAATAACAACGACAGATTAATTCGTTAAAAAACGTCTGCAGTATTTTAAAAGAGTCTCTTTGCAATTTACTCGTAGACCGCGAATAGGAACAGTATATTTTAATAATCATGGCTTGGCTTCGCAAAACGAAGATCAAGATGGAGTCTGTAAACGTCGCGTGCAGCTCCGTTTGTGACTGATAAGTCCAATGCGGGAGCGGCATACACGGTCGCAGTAGTTGCAGTTAAAAGTCCGGCCTGGGCTCGATAGCATAGCGTTACAGTACTTCTTCCCCTGCCTCTTGTCCTTGAGAGCGACCCTGCAGGTATTTTCAAAGAAAGAGAAAACATGGTTGGTGGTCAGACGCCAAGCGCCACGGTTCTCAGCTAGGGTTGACCATTGGCAATGGTTGATTTGACATGCAACAAAAGATTTTTTCAGGCAATCTTTGAATCGTTTCTTTGGTACCCTACCGCGATAGTCGGTGTAGAGCTGGCCGTACAATAAAATTTTAGGCAGGTGATGATTCTCCTTCCTGGAAACATGTCCAGCCTAGCGTAGCTGGGTCTTCAGCAGCATGGCCTCAATGCTGGGGATCTTCGCTTTTTCAAGTACTTCAATATTGATGACAGTCACTCCTGTGGATGTTAAGGATCGTGCGGAGGCGGCGCTGGTGGAACCGTTCGAGGAGTCGCTGGTGGTGCCGGTAAGTGACCCATGACTCTGAGCCGTATAGGAGAGTGGCGAGGACAATTGCTCTATACACACTGATCTTAGTGTCCTTCTTCAAGTGTCTGTTGTATTCCAAACGTCTGTACAAACACCATGTCTGTTGTGCTCCTGTTGGTTTGGTTTGGTTTGTTTTACGGCATATCAACCTCAATGGGTTATTTAATGCTGACAAAATTTTTATTGCTGGTAATATTTTGTTTTGTCTAAAATCTATTTCTGGTAATAATTTTTCCCTTCAAAAATGTATTGCTGGTAATAATTTTTTTCAAAAATATTTCTTGTAATTTTTTTTTCAAAATGTATTGCTGGTAATATTGCTGAGAATAATTTTTTACAAAGTATCTCTGGTATTAAAACCTATTTTTACAATTTCATAGTGTTTTTACCCCAGTTTCGGGATTAACTATTTGCCCATAGCTGGGGCCCTAATAAGTGCTACCACCCTGGGTCAGGGTGGACCTGGGATCACCAGCAATTAAGAGGTGGTTCCCCGCTCCTCAAAAAATACTGATCAGAGGCCTTGCTGCTGGACGTAGTTTATCGTCTTACCCAGGACGCGGGTGTAGTTTATCGTCTATTTGTCTATGTGATTAATATTCAACACTGGATTAAGTTTACTGAGACGAAGGGGGATAATATTGAAAAAGTATGAATTTGTGGTTAATTATTACGTTACGGACTTGTTGATCTATTTAGCGATTTAAAGTAAATTATAGCTTGTCCATTGACACAGTCAAATTTTAATAAAATACAACATTTTTCTAAATTTGAGGAATTTCCTTAATTCTCTAGAGAACACAAGGAAGATTCTCGGGATAGTTTTTCAATTTTGGAAAAAGAAACAAAATCTTTTAAAAACAAACAAAAGTGACATTATTTACATTTTTAAAGTTTATCCCTTTTTTTAAAAATCATTTCACCCAAAGCAAGGCAATAAGACGATTAGAATGCAAGGAGTTACTGAGTGTTAGAAAATCCATTATTAAGGAGAGAGGGCAATAAAAGAACAAAAATTAAGAAGACAGAAGATAACGATTAACATTGCAGATCAAACTTTGACTAGAAAGCAAGAAGCTGGGAGAGAGTTCCACAAGCGAGAAGTGCAATAGAAGAAACTGTTAGCATAGAACTTACGGTTACATTTAGACATTTCAACGGTAAAATAATGAGACCTTGCCGCCAATTTACTACTGCGCTTAAATTCATAAAGTCTAGGTACCATAACGGAAAGTTCATTTGAACAATTACCATGAACGTATTTCTAAAAAAAAAAGGCACAGGGAAGCGAAGTTATGGCAATGGGAAAGAAATTGAAACCGAGATGCCAGGTAAGGACCAATAACATTGCATATACTTTTTTTGATTTTTCCAGAATCTCTAAATATATAGCAGGATCCCCAGAGCAACTGTATACATTTTATTAAAAAAAAAGCAAAAAAAAAAAAAAAGTTAAAAAGCAATTCTTTTGATTTAAATTTTTCTTCTGTTCAACTCTGTTACTTTAAAGCTTTCATGTTTCTTTCTTCTTATCTTATTCATATTTCCTCTGCTTACCCTTAATATTTTTAATTATTTCACCTTCAAGCAAGGTAATAAAGGCACTAAGACGCAAGGGTTACTGAGTACGAAAGAATATGAGAAAAAGAAAAAGTTTTTTTTAAGTATA